CAAACAGTAGCAGATTAAATCTGACTCTTTGTTCCAGATTAGATACCAGACTGCTCAGCTAGTCCGGTGTTTCTAGATCTGGTATCTGTATGAACACTGAGGAATCGGTGGTTGTTGCCAGTTCCCTCTTTGGCTTTGAAGGCAGTTTTAGCTTCTGCAGGCCCAGTATGAGGCAGATACAGTACAGGCAGTCCCCGGGTTACGTACAAGATAGGGACTGTAGGTTTGTTCTTAAGTTGAATTTGTATGTATGTCGGAACTGGTACATATTGTAGGGGAAACTCTAGCCAAACATTTCTCCAGAGCTCAGTTTTATTCTCCCACACCTCACTTCCCTCAGTCCTTTATTCTCAAGCTGAGGTGTCTGCTGAGAAAAGCCACTCGGCGTCTCCCTGGTCTGCTGGGGGGAAGCAGCTAGTGCGGGGTTGCCTGACCCCGTTTGTCAGTAGGGAGTCGATGTAAGTCGGATCCATGTAACCCGGGGACTGCCTGTACAAGCCTTTCTGGTGCTACGTGTTCTGGCGTTACATGTTGCCTCTGATGCAGGTGGTACTCAACATAGTATCTGCTGTGCCATAGTTGGTTCCAATGCAGCACCTGTACTGGGCTTCAGATGAGTCAGAATATGCGATGGCTCCATTGGGGTGGCTCCTCCCTTCTGTCAGTGTGGAAGGGGCCTCATGTTCTTGCTCAGTGATATTCTGCCTGTCCTTCCCTATCCAGGTACAAAGATTGTAATGAGCGTTGGAAATGACAGAAACTTAAGCACTGTCCGTATCAATGCTATGTCAGTGGGAGACATTTTAACGCCGACACAGCTTCCACCTCTTGCAGAGCTGGACTGATTAGATCAGTGGGAGAGCTCTCTCCCATTGTCATAGAGCATCTTCACCAGATGTGCTATAGCAGTGGAGCTTCAGTGGATGTAGTGCTTCTTGGACCCCTTGGGATGTTTCTTCGTCTTCAAGGTCACCATCATCCTCAGTTCATTCTAGAGCAGGAGTCAGCAAGATGTAACTTATTCACTTCTATTTATGGGTCTGTGTGCCATTGATACTTTTTAAAGTCAATAATAGTCTTACTTGCATGTACAACTCGACTGTGTAATGCTGTATTAATCAGCTGCCTCGGTCTGTTGATGGAGTGCTCAGAGGAACAAAGCTCCCTGCACTTGGTCAAGGACTGTACAGCAGCTGGCAGCCAAGGAGCAAGTTAATAAGGGGTGGGGTCTGGGGGGACACATGGGCTTCCGCACGCCCCCAGCTGAGGAGAACTTTCACACCTTCCTGCCAGGGACCCAGGTGTCCAGCGGCTAACGTGGCTTTGGGGTAGGGGGACCTTCCACGCATTTTCCTCTCCCCTCAGCTGCCATCACCCAGCCCTGGAGCCACAGCCCAGGCAGCACTCACCCTCTAGCAGGGGCCCAGTGGCGACAGTGCTGGCTGCTGGGCATGACTTCAGCGCTGTCTTTAACCCACCCGTTGGGGGCACCATGAGTCAGAAGGAGGCGAACAGCCAGGAGTGCAGAGGCTTGCAGGGCTGAGGCTGCACACCAGGGTGGAGAGCAGTGGGCTGGAGGAAGTGGGGATGAGACTCCAGGCAAAGGCAGCAGAGGGGCTGGAAGGTAGTTCTGTACCCCCTGACCTCTTCCGAAGCAGCAAACAATGCCCTGAGCAAGCCCTCTTCTCCCCATGGCCACCGCACTCCAGCCTAGGTTCCAGCCTGCCTCCAAGTGCCCAGCTGCTATGCTCCAGCCTAACCTGCTGTCAGGATAGAGGGAAGGCACCAGCCTCTCATGTACCATGAGCCCCATGCAGCCTAATCTATAACCTCCCCGCCTGCCTCCCCAGAGCTGGTGTGCTGCAGCCTCATGTCTGCCTGCTGGCTGCAAGGCTCTGGCAGCAGTGTGGGCTCCCTGCTGCATGTGGGAGAAGGGTGGGGCCGAGCATGTGCCACTCAAAATCCTCTTGCTTGTCATTTATGGCACACGTGCTGTATGTTGCCAACCCCTGTTCTAGAGCATGGTCACTGAACCCCCATGCTGTCTCACCGCCTGACCCTTGAACTGCAAAATGCGATTGCTGCCTCTAAGCTGACCTAATCTGAGCCTGATTTCAGTAGCAAGCATTGTCACAGCAGGCTCCTGTGGCTCTGCTGCCTTATCTTCACAGTATTTTTGTCCTCTGCTGGAGGACTTCGTCATATCAAGATCTCCTGAGGTGAAAGACTATAGCCGGAAGCATTTAGGCAGAGTTAGTTCAGGAGACTATTCATAAGATGGTAGATATTCTCCAGTCATCTCCTCCGAAAAGGAAAGCTCTCGTTTATAAATAAAGGGGTTTTGGCATTCAAAAAGACTTTTTGGCATAACTCAGTGTCCTT